AAAAAAAAAAAAAAATACATGGAAGACCTTTGAATCTATTTCTTTCCCATATATAAAATATGAAAACCATTCAATATCTAAACTTTCCTGCTACTTCTTTACCAATAAAACCAGTCGAAAAATTAAAGAAAAAAAAAGGTAAAAGAATGGTAAGAATAAGTAGTTGCAGAAGAGCTAACGAACACATACATGGGTGAATTGAGAAAGAGAGGGTTATGTAGAAATGGGAAGTAGGGGCCGATAAGAGGAGGACGGCGAGGACAGAGAGAGAGTGAGGACTCCTGCAATGAAGACGGGCTTCACTGAAATCACCACCATCTCATTTCTCATTTCTGCCGATTCGATTTGGATATCTCTTTAATGGCACTCAAAAATACTAGCGGAGAAGAAGAAGAAACTGGGTTTGTTGGGATTGGGTTAGCCATAGTTGGGTTGTTGGGTTTGTGGTGGAGGAAGAGCCTGCTACAGGAAAGAGGGAGGCTACAAGAGGGAGAGGGAGGGTAAGACAGTGGAATCAATAAAAAAAAAAGGGTATTGTTGTCTAAAAAAATTATAATTTTGTGTTCCACGAACTTGAACAAGTCATTCCAGAAGGAAAGTGGAACAAAAAAAATGACTAAAATTCGTTTCATAAGACAGTACGTCCTAAACAATTTGGCGCACCAAATGTGGGACGAATGCTTTCCATTCCACTGCATTCCATCTCATCCCATATACCAAACGGTACCTATTGCTCTCCACTGATCCCTTTCATGGCTTCTTTGCCTATTTTCTTTCTTGGGTTTCTCGTTTTGGGAGGTGGGTTGATTTCAGGGCGGCAAAACTCAGATGCGATGATAGATAGAAAGGGAGGAGCATTTGGGACTTTATGAAGTTTTGGGTGCCCTTCTAGAGGACCTCAGCTGGGCCCAAGAGCATCCACAGCCCTGTGATGAGAATCCATGGCCTGGTGTTCAATGTGAGATTGGTGATGAAAATCCTCCAATTTTTCATGTCACAAAGATTCACATTGGCCCTGATACGCGCACCCCTCCTTGCAAATCCTCTGCTTCCCTTTCAAGTTCCCTCCTCAAATTACCTTACTTGAAAAATTGGTAACTACACCAGTCGCTCTCTCTCCATCACTATTTGGTGCATTGTTCCTTGGAAACCTTAGCCCTTGTTTCCAATCCAGCTCTCTCAGGAGAAATCCCCCCAAACTCGTCAAAAAAATAAAAACTTAAGGGTTCCCAACCTCTCGCAGAACAACCTACAAGGAAAAATCCCTAGGGAAATTGGTGGGTTGGTGAGACTAGAGCAGCTTGACCTAAGTTACAACAACATAAGTGGTGAAATCCCACAAGAAATTGGAGGGTTGGGGAGTTTGACAATCTTGGATTTGAGCTGGAATGTTCTAGAAGGTTAGGTGCCTAACTCTGTAGGGCAACTTCAGCTCCTCCAAAAGATTGATTTGAGCTCTAATAGGCTCAGGGACCGATCCCTCCAGATGTAGGGCAGTTCAAGAGGTTGGTGTTGTTTGATCAGAGTCAAAACTTGATCAATGGGCCAATCCCAGACTCCCTTTCAGGTTTGGAGATTTTAGAGTATTGGGTAGCTGAGAAAAACCCAATCAATTCAGAAATTCCTCAGTTTGTAGGGAAACTAAAAAAATCTCAAATTTTTTAGGACTTGTTTGGTATCTTGTTTGAAATTTTTTATCATTTCTTAAAACATTTCTTAAGAATATTTTTTGAAAACAATTTTCTTTAAAATTTAAAAACTTGATTGGTTTGCAATTGAAATTTTTTTAAATCTTATGACTTAAACTAGACAAAGAGATCTAAAAGGAGGGAAGGTCACATGAGAGAGAGGAGGAAAGAAATTAAGATATGATTGAAGGAAAGAGAAATAAGAGAGAGGATCAGACGAGATAGAGAGGAAGAGAAGTGAGAAAATAACCGAGAGAATGAAGAGAGCGGATTGGAGGAAAGACGAAAAAGGTAAAAAAAATATAGGAGAGAAATAAGAAAAGAGAGATAGATTTGAAGTGAGAGTGTGGAGGAGGAAAAGAAAAGAAATAAGTGAGTTTAAGTTTAAAAACTCTAAAAACTCACTTTTTATGTTTTTAGATAATAGATTATATTTTTTAGTTAGTCTTGAGTTCAGTTTTTTAAAATAATCCTACCGAACAAGTTTTTAAAGCCTAAAACTTGAAAATTGTTTTAAAGTTTAAAAAGTTGAATTCAAGTAGAGTACTAAACATGTTATTAGCTTTTCAGGATGTGGGTTGATTAGCAAATTACCTAACTCTCTACCTTCCTTGAAAAATCTCAGTGCTCTCTCTCTGGACAACAACAAACTCAATGGGATAGTCCCTATAAGTTTAGGGACACTCCCAAGTTTGGATCGACTGAACCTGAGCAACAACCAGCTGAGTGGGGCCCTATCACTTCCAGAGGATTTCATTGAGAGGCTTAGGAAGAGGTTGGATGTGAGAGGAAATAATGGGCTTTGTGCAATCAATCCATTGTACAAGAAGAAGAAGGGCATTTCGGCAAATCTGAGAGCAATTCCAGCGGAGGGCATTTTGCCCAGCACCCAGCTGAAAAAACTGTCCAGCACCCTGTGAAACCCCTCCACCAGACCCAATTGACTGGCACCCAGCTCAAGCCGGTCTCTAGCCCAGTCCAAAATTGACTGAGGTGTTGCCCGGTACATCTAACTCATGCTGACGCCAGCCGGGTCATGCGGAGGAGGAGGAGGTCCATTTTTTGAGGAGCGTTGGTGTGGAACACTTCCACGGCGAGATTTGACTCCTTGGGTGTGGAGCACCTCCATGGCGAGCTCCGGTGAGGAGACGACAACGAGGTGCCTGCGGGCGTTTGTGTGGAGCTCCGGCGAGGTCCCATCCGTTGGTGTGGAGCTCCGGCGAGGTCCCATCCGTTGGTGTGGAGCACCTCGACGGCGAGCTCCCATTTTTGGGGGAGGAGGTCCATTTCAGGTGCATAAGCTCATTTGAAGAAGAAAACATGGAGAAAAAGGGAAAAAAAGAGAGGGTAGAGAGAAAGTGCTCTGCCAGAGAAGAAATGGAAGGAGAGAGAAAGAAATTAAATGATAAAATATTAATTGATATGAATAAAATAATATAATATTAGATTGACTGGGTGCCAGCGTATTTTTAGGAATGGAGATGCTTTGGCCTATTACTGTTCACTGGGGTCTATTACTGTTCACCTGAGTGGATAAATGCGTTGGGTGCTGGCGCAAAGTATTTAGGGGTTGACTTGCTCTGATAAGTACCCCTCTTTGTTTGAATGCAAGTAAAGCAACAAATGACACGGCCTTGGCTGGTGAAGAAGAAGAACCAAATGTGTCTGAGAGAATGAAGCCCTTTGGTCAATACCCTGTTGAGAATAATAGTTCCGGTTTTCTGTGTCAAATGAAAAGATGATGTCTTTTGGTTTTGTTGTATTTTTCCTGTGCCTCTTCTTGTAAAAAAACACTTATTTTTTAGTTAAATTTTAGGCCAGTTTGATGAACTTGTTTTCATTTGAATTAGCTTAGCTCATTCATGGGTTCATGAGTCCACTTTGATCTTCCTGGAAAATTGAAGCCATAGGAAACGAGCCAAAGTTCGCATATGTGGGTCAGACTAGTAGAATGCCCGCTTCCAATTTGTCCCCATAAATTAGTGTAATTTAAAGTATAATATCGCATTTGAAGAAAAACTAACAAGTTGTTTATAGAGAGACAAAAAAAGAAGAAGCCTTCTAAACTCAAGTTCAAAATTTGTCTCACTTGTCTATATATTCTGCAGGCTTTTGCTGGCAAGGGTCAAGCATTGAAGAGATGCCTTGAACATTTACAAAATTCTGACTTTTACACCAAATATTTGTAATGCAGTTGGGACTGAATCTTATAAGCAATTAAGAAGAGAAGAAGAGGAACAAAGGTGTAGGAATTGCAGTTGCAGGGAAGTTGGGCTGGGCTCTTGATAGCATGGTAGAAGAGAAAGGCTTCCCCTTTCTTTTTATAATTTTTTATTGAACATCCAAATTCAAATGCTTGAAAACTGTCCAAAAGCTGCATATACTCCGTTCCTTATGCAGCTCCTTGTGTCCCATACATGCATCACATAAATTAACAAGAACAAGGGAAAGCAGCAGCAACAACAAATTCTTATTCTACTGAATGCGATCGATTGTATGAATCATTGAACGCAAATTATACAACTGTGTTCAGTTTTGCGTCAATTTTTCCAATAGCAAAGTATTTTTTGTTTCATTTTTCCACTTGCACCTGGTGTGGGCCTACAAAAGAAAAAGATAATTGGTGGTGACTAGGATGATCATTAATAAAATGATTGTAAAATCCAATTTTGATAGTAGTGCTGCACGATCATCACCTCATTAGCAATACTTTCTTTTAATTAGGGTTAATATTTATTAAAATGATCTATATACATGGGTTGCAGAATGTTTGATTCCACATCTGTTTCTACCCAAATCTTTATTTATAAAAAAAATAAAAAAAAATAAAAAATTTGCACACGTAATTGTGTGATTCTGTGTGCTGGAAATGTTCAATAAGACAACATCATACAATCTTCCAAGGGGGGAACTGCATACTGTGAATAAGTCCCAAATTTCTCTAATTCTTAATTTTTTGAAGCAAAATTCTTATTAGTTACTAATCACACCGTCACACCAAAAATTCACTCATATTACCTTATGATCAGTGTTTATACAAATAAAAAATAATAATAGACTACACGACGTGATTTGCTTAAAATGCAATTTTTTTAGCAAAATCCGGTCAAAAATAGAGAATGTAATAATCTCCCGTCAAAAACTTGACAAAATAAGTTACATGTATATCAATAGCTCTATTACTAATGATGCTGATATTTTTAAATTCTAATTATCATTTTTTTTTCTAAATATTATTAACCCATAAGATTATTATTTTGCCATAATAATGGGATGAGCATGGTGGAGTGAGAGTGTTGGTCACATAATCCGTTTCGATATTGCTCTCACCTTGAAAACCCGAACCAACTCAACATTCTCACCTGATGCTTACATGTTTTGTCTTCACCCCTTCTTTATTATTTTCTCCAATCCCTCCAATCACTCTCTTTCTTTTTTTGCAAAAAAATTGTATATCAGTATCCAAGTGGGAATTTGAGTGTTCATTTTCCTCTCGTTTTCTCTTCAGCCACCATTTTCTGCAGCTCCTCTCTGTTTCTACAATCCCACAAGGTGTGTTCTTTTGCTTCACAATTCATGCAGTTTCATTTTTTTTTGCATCTGGGATTGCACTCTTTGATGACTTTTTTAGATTATTTGATTGAATTTCGACTTGGGTTTTGATCAAAATCATGTATGATGTATTACAAATGAAATATTTTCTTACTGTTGTATCGAAATCAATGTTTTTCTGAAGTGACATAGCGGAGTTTGAGACATGAGTGCAACACAGTTTGATTCTTTGAATCCGATACTGTGTTTGGATTGTTGGGTTATTGTTCGATTTGTTCAAAGCTTAATCCTGATTGTTTTATTAGGGAGCCTAATCAGAAGTTTAATTAACATAAAAAGCCCCATCAGTCTAGGATGGATCACCAGTCATAGCTTATGAGTTTGATCATTCATAGCCCCCCTCTGTTATTGTAAATGCTTGGGATACTGTCACCTTAGCTTTCCGATTGCAAGTAAGTTCTTTGCCAATCTAAGATGTCCCAAGAATGTATTGAAGTTGGCGATCACATCCCCTGAAGTTAAAATCTTGAAAGTTGGAAAATTGGAAGCCACTGGTTTCATGGTTGTACTATCCCAGAGTTGATATCTCAAAGCCTAATTAGGCAGTGGGGTTTTTCTCATTCCCCTTTACTAGGTTGCTTTTGTTGGTTCATAGTTTCTATTACTATGCACCTAAAAATTAGGATAGCTTTTTCGGTCAATTGTTTGATATCTGAATTCGAAAGGATCTAACATAACATAATATTCAAGTGATTTTTGTTCACTACTCTAATTTCTTTCAGAATAGCGCGGGGATAGCATAAACAAATTGCAGAGATGGTGGAGATAACCAATGTTTCTGAGTATGAAGCCATTGCTAAGGAGAAATTGCCAAAGATGATTTATGACTACTATGCATCTGGTGCAGAGGACCAGTGGACTCTCAAGGAGAATGAAAGCGCATTTTCGCGGATTTTGTAAGCTCTTCTCTTGCTTTTGGACTATCATGTCAAAAGTAGTTTTCTGTTTTTGATTTTTGGGGTTTGATTTTCATTCCCTCATAATAAAAAAAATCGATTAAAGTTCTTATAGATGTAAGCAAGATAGACTTTTGTGTTTTGATTTTAATTTTTTTGATGGACCAGGTTTCGACCTCGTATTCTTATAGATGTAAGCAAGATAGACTTGAGAACAACTGTTTTGGGCTTCAACATTTCGATGCCGATCATGATTGCTCCAACAGCCATGCAGAAGATGGCTCACCCTGAAGGTGTAAGCTCCTTCCATAAGTTGCATTAACAAATTTAAGTTAACTTAACAGCAGTTGGAATGAAAAAACGCTCTTTGAAGTGTGATCTTTGCAAAGTTTTTCTTATAAAGCAGGGATAGCTAAATTTGATTAGGTAATTCTTAATCAGGTGAGTATGCAACGGCAAGAGCAGCATCCGCAGCTGACACAATTATGGTTTGACTTCTCATCATTGATTTAAATGCATGGCTTATTCAACTTATATAAAGGGAGTTTTAACAAAACACTCCCGGTATTGTTCACTATTAACGAAAAACCACATTTATACCTTTCCCTGGTACTATTCACTATACCTTTAAAAAGAGTTTTTTATTAAAAGGGAAGTTTTTTTGGATTTTTCGTTAGTTTTCCTATATATCAATGATTTGAATGTGTGGCTTATTCATCTTATATTTGCAATTTTGGTTGTTAGACACTGTCGTCTTGGGCTAGTTCCAGTGTTGAAGAGGTTGCGTCAACAGGACCTGGCGTTCGCTTTCTCCAACTCTATGTAAGTTTTGAATTTGCCCTTTTATATTAGCTAAATTCACTCTTTTAACATACTGTCTTAAGATCTTTGACCTCCATTTAAGTGGTCTTTGTGCGTAATTTGCATTATAAAAGCTGATAAAGGCCTAACACAAATAGATGCTTACAAGGTTATCGTTTGTCATGCGTTGTAAACCTAATAGTCAATGATTTCTTTGGTTCTTGTTTAGGTGCACAATGACAGAAATGTTGTTGCACAGCTTGTAAAAAGAGCTGAGAGGGCCGGTTTCAAGGCAATAGCTCTCACTGTGGACGCTCCGAGGCTTGGGCGCAGGGAGGCAGATATCAAGAACAGGTGAGCATTGATTCAAAATGGTATTTATAAAACTAAGAAAGACAGTTACTAGAAACATTTTATGTTGTTTTATTATGCAATAAAATCTCATTATAAGGTCTTCAACAGATTTGTTTTGCCACCAAACTTAACATTGAAGAACTTCGAGGATTTGGATCTCGGAAAGATGGATAAGGTGGGTGACTGACCTATACAACTTTCAGTATCAGACAATAAGTAACTTGATATTAATACACACATTTCTTGACCGTTTTGGTAATGAAAATTCAGACCAATGATTCTGGACTTGCATCGTATGTTGCTGGACAAATTGACCGGTCTCTCAGCTGGAAGGTAATGGTTGCTTCAATACATGATAGTTGAAACATTTAATGTGCAGTAAGAATTCAAACGATTTTCTTGGCCACATACACAGGATATACAATGGCTTCAGACAATCACCAAATTACCAATTCTTGTTAAGGGTGTAATTACTGCGGAGGATGGTAAGCAACCATATCCCTGACTCCACATTCCAAAGGAAAGCCAAGTCCCCTGCTTGGTCTATTATTGATAGTTTACAACAAATTCAATGACGTGTGTGCTGAAAAATGTAGCACGACTAGCTGTACAATATGGAGCTGCAGGAATTATCGTCTCCAACCACGGAGCTCGCCAACTCGATTATGTCCCTGCAACTATTATGGCACTGGAAGAGGTACATTTGCTTCATATTTTCTACTTTTATCGATTTTTTAAAGGGAGTTTTAACGAAAAGCTCACGATACTGTTCACTTTAACGAAAAACCACATTTTTACACTAAAAAGTCAAACCTGGTACTATTCACTTTACCCTTTATTTTGTTCTTATCATTAAAACTCAAAGTTTTCAAGTTATTTTCATTAGTTTTTCTTTTTTTAAATGCTTCCGAGGTTCTGAAGTTGTTGAGTACTGTCTTCAACAGTTCATATTCTTGAAACTTTAGTCATTCTAAATTCCAAATCACTTTCTTTGGTGTATAGAACTGTAAATCGTAATATTCTAAATTATGGTTTTGTTGTCATGGCTTATAGGTCGTTAGAGCGGCACAAGGCCAAATTCCTGTGTTTTTGGATGGTGGAGTAAGGCGAGGAACGGATGTTTTTAAAGCTCTGGCCCTTGGTGCATCGGGCGTATTTGTGAGTAAAGCTTATATTACTTGACACATACAGCAGAAACAAGATACAGCAACTATGATTCATTCCTGCCTCTAATATCTGTTATATTAAGACAACGAATTTAAAGCAATGCCTTAATTGCCACAGAACCGTATAATTAATTAGCCTACGAGTTCTAATTTGATACTTAAAACCTCAATTTTGCTCAGATTGGTAGACCGGTGGTGTTCTCGTTAGCAGCAGATGGTGAGGCTGGTGTAAGGAAAGTTCTTCAAATGCTTCGTGACGAGTTTGAGCTAACCATGGCATTGAGTGGTTGCCGTTCGCTGAAGGAGATCACGCGGAACCACATTATAACTGAATGGGATCGTCCTCGCATTGCACCGAGATTATAAGATGATCACATTTATTTTTTGTGCAATGATTGAACTGTCAATTTTTTTTCTGTCTTGAACTAAATATATTTGAGAACTCAACTTCTGTATTGGGAATAAAATGGAGTCAATATTGGTTTAAGTTTTGTTTCTGCACCAAACGGTACTTTCTTTCTTGGACTACTACCAGAGCAGACCGAAAGTAATGGTTGGCAAAGACCATATGTTGATTTTTTCGACTATTAGTTTATCCTCTACTTTCCGGGATTAACTTATGGGTGGTGTTGTCCCCACTTCCTTTTTTACCTTTTACATAGCCGACTAGAAGTTGAGACAAAGAGAAATTGATGAATAACAGTAAAAGAGAGAATTCTTAAACTGTACAGAAAACTGATTATCTTTTTGAAGCTGACTGAAAGTTGAGATAATTGAGAAATTGATGAATAACAGTAGAAGATAAAATCTTTAAACTGTACAGAAATCTAATTGGGCATGCATGCCTTCTGAAAGTTGAGACAAAATTTTTAAACTGAAATTAACATAAATTGTGTAGAAAGTAAATAGGGGTATGTACCCTAACTTAAAAGCAACTGACATGTGTTTTGTTATCTTCTTCTGCAGGGTTTAAAATGCGTCGGTTTGAAATTCCCGCGCATTGAATGCTTCCTTTTTTCCTGGCTAGAGCCAAAATATTGGACCAGAAATTTTTTGAAGTTGTTTGAGAGGCGGAGAGAATCCAAATTCCAAAGGGGAGATAAGCATGAGAGATCTGATCCAGTCCCAAATAAGTCGTGTCATGTCACCTCAATTATCCTCACAGCCGTTAATTAAGCATAAAAATGAAGATTAGTAAAAACATTTAAAACGTTTTTGTCTCTTCAATATTGTAGGCAAGACGGAAAAGAAAAAGCTTGATTCGCTCAGAAAGTTTGTAACGTTGAAATGAAGGCATGATAAGAAGCTGCAACACTTAACCTTCTTTAATATTTATTTTATCTTTTTCAGTTAGACATTTTATGTCGTTTTAATTATGGTTACTGTTTTTAAAATTTTTTATGACATTTCTGTCATCTCACAGTTTTAACGTTAATTACTGTTCAACAATAAAGTATTCAGTAAAAAACATAATGACAGAGAGCTCCATTTTTACAGAGTTTCATATTTAGAAAGTCTCATTAGTACTTCTCATAAAACTATTTCCATCTCTCTTCACAAAAAAAAAAGAGATATACAACCAATCGGGAATATGTATGAATCCCTTGTATGAATGCTAGTGGTAGCAAGCAAGCTAATCCCCATTGCCTTGTAACTTTACAAAACCTTCCAGGAAGTTACCATGCAATTTCGTGTGAAAGATACTCATTTCCATCTTTTCTTTAGCTCCAATATATTTTTTTCATTTAGCTTGTATATACTGAGACGTTTGTCAATGTTGGGCTGAAATTGGCATGACCTTGTTCAAGATTATAGCTCAAATTACAATTACGTATCTGCAACCTCTGCCTTTTATTTGATTTTTTAAAATATCAATTGTATAAGGTATTTCACAATGGTTTACGTGAGTGTGATACCTATAGATGGTAATCAAGCATCTTGAGTTTGATTTCTATAACACTATTGTTACACTAGTGTGAGTTCAATATATTTGTATCACTAGGGATGACAACGGTTCGGTTTTGGGATGTAAAATGTTATATCCACCCCATAACCACAAAAATTAACCACTTCCATAACCACAAATGATCCATCAGGAATTATCAATATCATACCCAGGCGTAATATTCCCCATCGGTTAACGGTTATATCCATCTTCATCAATACCAAAAATATATTCGTTCAATTGATGCATTATATATACTAATTTCGTCATTATAATATAATAGATACATTGATGATGTTGGCTGATCTTTGATCTCTCTCATAAGCACCATTGAATTCTCATTGGTTTTGATTCAAAACTTGTGAATTTTCCCACAAATGCAACTTTTGGTATCAAGGTAAGGGGTGCGGTGAATATATATAATTATTATATATAAATTAAATTATATATAATATGTAATATTCTGGTCGAATACGAATCAGGGACCCCTATAACCATATCTGAAACCATAATCAAATAATATTTTCGGTTTTTCCCCATATCCGAAATCTAACCAAATTTTCATCCCCAAATCCGTTCCATTCAGCAGTTATCCACGGTTATCAGGTATGATGGTTTGAATTGCCTTCCCTATACCACACTCATGAGTTTGATATATTGAACTCATGAGTTTGATATATTGAACTCATGAGTTTGATATGTTGAACTCATGAGTCTAATATATTGAACTAATGAGTTCAATAAATTGGTATTACACTCAAATTTTTTAGCTCACTATAGAAGTGTGATTTCCATATGAGTTCAATATGTTGATATCACACTTTTTTGTTTTCCGACCTACAATGGAAGGCCTAAGTATTGTTGTACCGGAAGAAGAACAAGAAAAAAACATTGGCATAAAAACATCTAACAAAATAAAATATAATGTATATTGTATAGTTAAACTGATACTTTCGTCAAAAAATTTTTATATAAAAACATCTTAAATATTCTTGTTTTCTTAGTTGGTTAATTATCATCCAATGAAATTAGTGAACCGTGTCGAAATTGGTATGTTGTTTGAATTTTTGCAATTTTTTAAAACATATTGTATTCTAATGGTTTACTTGTGCAAAAAAGGAAAATTATTAGCCATAATGGATGTAATCTTCTCAGTCATATCATCTCCCACCCACATCAACAAAAGAACAACAAATGAAAAATGTTTTGCCATAATCCGATTAACACCATCAAACATTAAAGATCTAAAATCAACCCAAACAATGTATATATGATGTCTCCCACACGATGATTAGAAGTGCTTAGAATTAACTAATTTACAGAAAGCTCTCTTCGATCAGTCGATCTCCATCTAATTTACGTAAATAATAAACTTGACGTGCCTTAGTTCCTAGCGATGATATGGAGATGTTGCTTGATTCCGATGCTTTCTCTCCTGCAAAAACCTTTGGAGTGATCTCTTCAGAGACGTGCCAGCAACTGGGCTACCCAGCGGAGACATCAAATTTGGTGAATGTGGTTCTGATGATCCACTTGGAGTAAATGGACTCTTTACCCTCTCTTCCATTTCTTTGTTTGCAAGAAAAATGATGGATCTGGCCTGCAAAGTACCAACAAATTTAATTCATTATTGGTTTAATTTAATAAGTTATTAGAGGATAACTATTCATTAATATGATTAATATCTGAATAATACTTACACTTCCCCCTTGGGAAGTTGAGCTCATTCATCAATTAGTCACTTAAATGTATTGAAAAAGTCGACCGTATAAATACCAAATAACATATTTATGATGAACCGTCCACTTATTTAATACGTTTGGATGATTAAGCTATCTTAAACTTTAAAAGAAGAACGTGACGTACCTGAAGCTCTGTAACATCACGAACGCACATCACTCTGTCGTAAAAAATTGTCATCTGCTGCTGCTGCTGCTGTTGTTCGTGTTGTTCTTGTTGCTGGGTTTCATTAGGGTTAGGGAAGCTGGAATCAGCAGAAGGATTATGAAGCTGAAGCTGAAGCTCCAGATTGCAGTTTCTCCTCATGGTAATTTAGGGTTTGGAATCAAAGTTACTACAAAACCAAGAGAATGAAGGATGATGATGAAGATTGAAGAGAGAACAAATGAAGATAGATGCGGAGTGGGTTTTAGATCGATGTGGAGTGACTTTATATAGGAAAAATTAGTATCCGGTCCCTAGTTTTTACTGTTCATTGACTAAGACCTTATTAGTTCTCAAATTTTGATTTAAGTCCCTAGCATTGATGTGATAATGAATTTACATGTTTATTATATAATTTTTTAATATAAAAATTAGTAATTAATTTAGGGTTTAATACTCACACCTCTATTAAACTTCTAATTAATTTTCAATTCAAACATTTCCAAAATAAAAAAAAATTAAATTAAATTAAGTTTGTACCTATTAGGTTTTTTTTTTATATATAAAAAGATTCTTAATTTTTTAATCTTAAATGTACCCATTCATATAATTTTTCAATTTTTTAATCTTAAATGTACCCATTCTCAAATATATCAATTTGTTATATGTAAAATGTACCCTTTTTTAATATAAAATCCATTCAAATTTTTTAATCCATGTTTAAACTTATATGGGTACATTCTTTTTCGTTGATTTGAGAATGTATCCATGTTTTGGTACAATAACGTTTTTTTGTTAATTTTGGTTAATGTACCCATACATATATGTATATATATATATACACACACACACACAATATAATAGAGAGTATAATTTATATTTTATTATTTTTAATCCCATAAATTATGGGTTTTATTTAGAAACTCATTAATATAAACAATTACAAATTTCAATTTTTAATTTTTAATTAAAAAAAATATAGTAACTTACATTATTACATTAATATCAAGGACCTCAATCAAAAACTAAAAACTAACAAGGTTTCAATCAAAGAATATTGATAGCTAGGGACCGCATCCAAAGTGTCCATTTTATATATAAAACTGCCATATGCATGCAGCATGCGGACTGAAGGGCCCCACATGGACGTGACTGTAGTCTAGACCCCTTCAAACACGAAACGCACGCACTTTACACCAAGATACTGTTTAGCGGCGAAAAAGCTCCTCTTTTCATTTAATCACGTGTATCATGATTTTTAAACTTGGTTTTTTCTTTAGGCTTCATCATTTAATTCTATTTGTTTATACAGTAATATTATGTGGGCTTATTCTGGTAGACCAAAGACTCTGTCATTGTGCGCGAGACCCGTTTATATACTGGGAAACTTCTCAATAATTGTGTTAATTTTGTGAATACAACTGCAATTTCTCTAACTTACGAATTTGACTTTTATGGTATGTATCATTTAGTGGACCGGAAAATTAACAGTTTGACCTTGCATATAAGGAATTAATGAGTCTTTCTCCAAGTTAAATCTTGCATAAAACTAGTATTAGTGTAGCAAGGCTCCTAATTTTTTCTTTTTTTGAACAAAAGTTAAAGGGAGGGGGTGGGCATAGTTTCACAATGGACTAGCAATAATGTGATTCAAATTTGCCTT